TCCGCAATAAGTTAAACGATAATACAGATTAGGAAAATCTATAGATATAAATTAAAAATACTCCTAAATAGAGGAAAATAAAAATGCATTTAACATTCATTAAAGATATTCCACTGCGTGTCCTAATTCCCCACCCATAAAACCCTATAACCACCGTTTTCGTAGGAAAACATGCAGGAAGTAGGGGTTAATGAGTGGGCCTACAAAAGCTACTGTTGCCCAAAGGAATTTCAGGTGAGTAAAGTGGTGGCGTAAACCACGTACCCTTAGGACATTGGCGACCTCGCCCGTCTCTGTCAGGAAGACGTACACGCTGCCACTCTTGGTGCTCACTACAAGGTAGCGATCGTCCTTGGTCCACTGCAGCAAGCAAGGACGGCATCTGGGCCTAGGGGGAAAACAGCAAACGGTTTGGATGGTCAAAAAGCCAAATCTGCGTGAAGTAATTCATGCAAAATCATGGCCGAAATTGGACTCAGTAGTTCAGCCTATATTTGGCCACGTTATTTTGATCTAATGAGTGGACTTGAACCTGAGAAAGTCTTTCAGTAAATTTTAAGATTGCATAGAAGCAGAATTTAATGGAGCCATGCATTTCGCGAGCGCTCGCTAGCTGTCGCCTCTCGCTGAATAACATAAATAACGTATGAGAGAATACTAAAAAATTGAATTCGTGCAAACAGCAAAGTCATAGAAAATGGCCACAAAGGCTAATCAATAACGTTAGCAAGTCAAAACATTGTGAGAAGTGAAGTGGGGAAAAGTGTCCAAGGCAAAAGGTTAGAGAGGAGAATGTGTACATCAGGGAGCCGGATGTTACCACGGCAAAGTTAGGTTTACCACGTGCTCCAACTGTTTTCATAGGTTAGGTTTTGACAGCTGTATACAGACTGTCTCCAAGTAGCGCAAAGTACGACTTGTTCATGCCCGAACAAGTACTCAGAAGGATGTTTTGGGGTCAACGGAGTGAGCCATATCAAGCAAGTGTTCAGTAATAGATGAACGTGGAAATCCATTTTCCCGTTTTAATAGCTACCTAGGCATCGTGCTCTTTGGATCTAACTGCCAATTGCCGCTGCGTTCGCCCAATGTACTTGCATCCACAAGTGCACGTAACTTCATAGACATAATTTGAAAAGGAAACGAACGCCGCTTGTTTAGTTCAGGTTATTTACGGGTAATAGGCCAGTCTTTTTGCATTTGCGAGCTTAGAACGTGACCTAAGAGTTATCCAATATGACGAAAATGCTGCAATAGTGAGAGAAAAGTGAGTTTTTTCATTTCCGGACAAAATTCTGCACTTTCACTTAGAATTCACATCCGAATCCTCACATGCCAGTATCACCACGGGCCGCTTTGCAACTAAGAGGACTATAGATTAAGTCCCAAAGCGAAACGGGATGAACAGCTCCCATAACCCGATATTTGTTAATACACGATACACGTCAGTACTATGAAAGTAAATATTCCCGATCGCGACCAGCAGGTGAAATTGGCCCGTAACATGATGGCAGAGCGTTGAATTACTACAGAACGCAGGTTCGAGCGTCAGGTTATACGGGTCTGGAATGGGATATGGCTGACTGAAGAGGATTAACAAGCCCGAAATCATCATCCTTGCCTTCCTTATTTCTGTGTGTGTGCATTTCCCTAAGAGCCGCTTACAAGAAACAGACGTAACAAGGACTAAACTTCTGGGCATCGGTAAGTATCACGACTTCCACACAAATTGTAAATGTAGGAAAGGGATGTGGGCTAACAACAATCCTGCGCATAAAATTACCGCTTTCGTAGTTTCAATTCTGCCCCGGTCCAAAGGCAAGATTGCAGCTTCCAGAGCCAACAAGTTCCGCCGTTGGAGGAGGATGTGGCCAGCATGGTGCCCGAGTTGCTGAACCTCAGTTTGTTCACTCCATCCTGTTGTAAACAAGCAACAAAAAGAAGGATGCTGAGAATTGGAGCTTAACGCGCACAGTCCTTTCTAGAGATTATAAGTTGGCAGGTACCTCGCGGGCAAAAAGACGTCCAGCGGCGACCGGAAGTCCATTTTCAGCAAATGTGTACATTCGGACGAAGTTGTCGGAGCAGCCAACGGCTATGAAGTGGCCACCTGAATGAGACATGTAGGCAACTTTG